TCATCTGCCATAATTAAACCCACGAGTGGGGGAGAACTAAAGGTCCACCCGGGCAGAGATCCCCCAATACCCGGGTAAGCGTAAATTTATGCCCAACCGAGGGGTCCGCAAGTGCCCCGGCTGGGAGTGCGCTTACGACTGAACTACCCATCAGCCATGCATCCCCTGGCCACGCCCCAGAACACGGGATTCGGGGAATTTTTTAGAGAGGTTTTCTTCCTCGCGGTCCGGGCGGTTAAGCCAAGACCCTCGTCCCCGATCAGAGCCGCGAGACTTGACCACAGCGCTCTTCTCGGGATTACGATATGCCGACGGTGACAAGGAGACTACGTCCCCCTGCCTGCTCGGTGGTAGTGTCAGTACACGCCGAGCCCGTCCTCCTTTCTCCACCGCTACCAGCGGGGAAATTGGCCCCTACAGGGCCCCACCTTCTGGTTTTTTACCGAGGTTTCCTCCTCCATGCTCCGAAGAGCGAAGAGCCAGCAGGGCAACCGGCAGACACGCCCACCCTGCTGGACCAGGCCTTGCCCGAGAGCCGATGAACGGCTTCCTCTTCTGCTAGAATATTAGCCGCTGGCGATAATCCTCTCCTCCAAGTGGACAAGGAGGAAACAGTGCCATCGCCAGCGTTTCCAGGGTGCACCACGGGGAGGTTTTCTAGCATAGCACCCCCCGGGAAACAAACCCTATACCAACCCGTCTGGCCAGCGTGGTATAGTAGGCCAAAACCTCCTTTCTAAGGAGAGTCCTATGTTCAGCAGTGGACTAGTAAAGGCTGTTCATAATGATGATGATGAAAGTTTTTAACTAGGATCTATTTTTTATTATTTACTTAGTATACTACTAGTTCAAAGAATTATTGAATACTTACATTTTAAATAACGGAAACGTACCATGTATATCCAGTATGCTAACAGATTTGTATAATGTGTGATACGTAAGTGCAGTCGTAGCTAAATATCCTTCATTAGATTAACAACCTTTATAGTAATATGGCGGAACGGGTGTTATATGACTTCAATAAAAAGGAAGGGTCCTCCGACCAGGCAAGGTGATCATGCCTTGCGGACCGCCGCCCTTCGGTTGATGTGGAGAAGTTGTATTTGTAATAATCGGAGAAACACAACCATTGCGCGATGCAAGATTAGAAGGTACTCTCTAGTAGAGTGTTTTCGTTAGATGCTATTGAATTATATTTTCCATTGTATTTGAAACTCATTAATTTATCTAATGGATAAGATAATTATGTAATCAAAGCCTACAGTGCTTCTAAAATGGTTTTTCCTTCAACATAAAAAGTGATACGTTGAAATCACATCATTAATACGTTGTTGCTGATTTATGTTTATGAGGCTCTGGCATTGTTCAAAAGAAAGTTCATATTTTTTTATGAACTGTTTATTGTACCTACCTACGTAAAAAAAATACTATCTCGCTATCTATAAGATAATTCGATAAACGAGGAACTAAATCCATTTAGGACTAACAGAATAGGAAAACTAAATTATATATATACCTCTTAAAGTTGCCATTTCGACGCAAGTTAAACGCAATGTCGACTAACTACAAAAGATGGTGTATCTTATAGTTTTTAGATTTCGTCAGGTTTTAACATTTATTACCTACAGTTTTTCTATACTAGTTTCATCTTCATCGTTGATTAGGTCAAATACCCCAAATTTTTAAAAGTCAATAAGAAAATAGTAGGTACTGAATAAACAGAAAATATTTATTTAGCATAAATTATATTAAAACCAGTTATTTGTTGACAACGCCATTGACCTCCGTGACTCTATGAGAGGTGACAAATTCGAGACTTCTGATTCATTTTCTATTAGCGTTCATTTGCTATTCGTTCGTTAACACCATTTTTCTTATATTTTACTCATCACGGTTATTACAGTTTAGGTGTGAGTTTATTTTTTGTACCTCTTCTTCTTATTCGTGTCACTTTTGTCAAAGTGGTCGTGGCTATCCTGATGATAATTCTCTGGCCCGAGTACGCAGCACAACTGCCCGCCAATTCTGCCCGCTGACAGTGCTGTTGCTGACGCCAACAGCCACTTTAATCTGGTCTGTCCAGTGCAGTGGTATCCTACAAGCATTGTATCCTCGTCCTGTTTGTACCTATTCCTATTGTAAGATCAATAGAACTTTGTTCTGTTTCACTACTTTATTATTTGAAGTGACATCATTTTAGGACAAGATATTGTAGTCCTTTACAAGTGGGCAATGGTTTGGTTCCATTGTTCTCCTTATAAAAATTATAGTCATAGATATAGACAGTACTCTATGACTGCTATAATGTATACGAATAGTTGTTTAACATTAATCCAATGGCTGAAGCAAAACATAATATGTTATAATATTTACGATAGTTACGTTACAAATGTGTTACTGTTATAATAGATATATAGTAAACAAAGCCACAGTTTTATTCTAGACTAAGTTTAGCGATGATTGATTCTCTATATAAACTTCCTCCCCCTTTTCACCGTCTTAAAGGACTATTTCTGGGTTAAAAACTATCCTATATCGTTACCCGGGACTCGAACTACGAATCTTTTTCTAAATTGGCTCAGCGGTTTAAGCGTGAATAGGTAACAGACAGACAGACAGATAGAGAGATAGACACATTTTCGCATTTATAATATTAGTATGGACAGTTGCTTTATATGAATAGGTTAACGACCCATTGAATATTTTGGCGCTAGTTATAAAATGTGTCCGTAAACATAGAACAGAGAGTCATAAATTGTGTATACATAATTATGTACAGACAATTCACCAATTTATATCATCAAATTCTAAGGATCTAAAGATCTCAAAAAATAATTTAATAATAATAAATAGTATAGTAATAAATAATTAAATCAATTGGACGAAAAAACTTAAAAACGAAATACAGGATCAAAGTACCCACCTAGTCAAAAAAGGAATATCTTTTAGTAACGTTCTTTATGACTGACGCCTTACGTTTTGCCTAAACTAATTCTACAAAAAAAATCTGCCATTAAAATATTTCTCCAAAGATCTATTCCTAGTAAATGCCAATTTTATGTTTATTCTTCTGTTCATCATAACGATTAATATTATTATAATATATAATATTTACTCTTCCTTATCTCTACTTAATTAAACTGCATCATAATTAATATTCTAAACAAGAAGTTATCTTCATACTTAGTTACGCCACAAGTACCGCTATCTTCCGTAAATAGCAAACATTGTATTCTTTCGTTAGCCGACTTCAAAAAGGAGGAGGTTATCAATTCGGATGTTTGTAGTTTTTTTTTGTGTAGGGCGTAGTAAATATAACTCCGTTATATTTATACGGATTTTCAAAATTCCTTTTTTTGTTGGAAAGGAGTTTATTCCGAAATGGTCCCATTTAAATCTTATATATAAAATTCTCGTGTCAAAATGTTAGTTACCATATCCTCCGAAACGACTGAACCGATTTTTATGAAATTTTGTGTTCACATCGGGTAGGTCTGAGAGTCGGCTAACATCTATTTTTCATACCCCTAAATGACAATGGACCCACCCATATTTTTCTTTTTCAATATTTCCTAGAAATAATGAATATGGCAAGACAACGTTTGGCGGGTCTGCTAGTTTCATGATGAGTAGATCACATGATGCAGATGCAGCTGAAAGAAATTTGAAGTTCACGCATTATTATCATGAGTATTTCACAAATTCATTGGTGGGAGAGCCATGCTGGACCGACTCGACCGGAATGATACTACGGCTTAACAGAAAACCGACGTTATTTAATTCTTTCGCTGCTTTTCACCTAGCGTCTGAGATTAATGGAGACCGGTCCATAGAGCCCTCACGCGGTTTTTTCTACTCGTATGTTCCCGAACCGACCTAAAACCGCACACCGCCTCGGGTACCAGTAGCCGGGGAACCAGGTGTATCCTAGAAAGGAAATTCCTAGTACGGTCTTTTGCCCCCTATACCGTAAAAGAAGCATACTTTTGTTAAATGGAGACTTAATACATTTAACCCTAAAATACATTTTCATTCTTTTGACTGTATTTTATTCTATAGGCCATAATCATTATTTGAAATGTCAACTACATAATTGACAGCTATTATCTTGTAGCATGATTCTTTATAATAATGGATTTGAGATGACCCTTGAGATCTGTGATAGGAAATAATATTATCATACGTGAAGAGCTGTGTAATTATTATACGATATCTACAGCCTACAGGCTTTGTATGCGTAATTTCATGACCCCTAAATAGGCCATGTCTCTATAATAGTCTTGGTAATAAAGCGGTGTGATTGTCTTATTACGCTTGAGGTTGGAAATTATGTTATTACTGAGTATTAGCATTTTTAATCATGTGGATGATCTCAGACTTGATATTGAGACAAAGAGGCTGATTATAGCCCATAGATCTTTGTCAAGGTAACATGATTCTCTATAAAAATACATTAATAAAATTTTCAAGAAAAGATCATGCATGTGCCTGTTTTACATGAGCTCTTTTTTCTCCTGATCCATTTGCTTGTGTAGGCTTTAGAGTTTGGAAACAGTTTATTAAGATACAAATAGAATAACATCTGCCTGGAGAACGATTTTAATAAGTAAAAAATTCGCGAAATGTTAAACATTGCAGCTATAAACTGCATGTATACAGTCAATAGAATGTTATAATCATTAATTGTCTGTTATCTATGGCACCATTTTCTTAATTGGCGGGAACTATCGCGCAATTTCCGCTATTCAATAAATATCAATTTATTAACGGAAACAATTAAATTAATTAATTTGATATTTGTGTTGTTTCAGATAACTCTGTGCAAGGCATAGACAAAACACTATAAATAGGACTGCGAAGCCTCCATACTGTGACCTCTCCTCTGTGATAACCTAAGAATGTCAATTATTTTGGTCAAAATCGCACAGTGAAAAAAACTATGCGGATAAGCGCCGTAATTAGATAATATTTATAATACCCGTTGATTTTTTTCACGTATCATGGCATCGTGGAAGTCTATTGGTTTGTGGACAGTGTGTTTAGTGCTGTGCCTTTTAGGGAAGATTTCGGGCTTAGATAATGGACTGGCTCTGACACCACCAATGGGCTGGTTGGCGTGGGAACGGTTTAGATGCAACACGGACTGTAAAAATGACCCAGATAATTGTATAAGGTAAGCATTTTAAAAAAGGTTGAGCGACGATTTATGAAAGGGCCATGGAAACAAAGTGTTAATGTTATACGTTTACTGTTAAATAAGCTTTATTGAGCGACATTTTTATCAACATTAAAATTGTGGTATTTCACAATCAACTAATTGAGTAAAATGAAATCAACTATAGGTATTATTTCATTGTCAAAAGTTGGTGATAGTGAGGATAAGGCGAAGCCAGTTGGCTGTGTAATTAAATAAATTTATAACTTGCGATACTACTATCCATAGTTATATTATAAAATGTGACAGGGAGTTTGTTTGTTTGTTAGCTTTCACGCTTCAACAACTAAGCCGATTTAAAAAATTGTTTGACTAATGGAAAGCTACATTATCAGCAAGTAACATAGGCTAGTTTTTACCGCGAGAACCGAAATACAGTATTAATATAAAACCATGACCAAATACTTATAAACAAAAGATCAATTGAGTAACTATACCCTCGGTAAAGTAATAAAATAAAATAAGTTTTGAAAACTTCTTTAGGCGCGTTAGGCATTTTTGACCAACAAACAAAATAATGTATTTTTTGAAATGGGAAAATATCATTGAACTCGCGACACTGTTACCGTTACAGAGGTGTTGACCTCTGTGTATAAGTACCTATCTTCATACATATAATGGCGCCGTTTACACGAGAGTTGAGTTTGGGTTAAAATACATTGATAATATAAATTTATATAATTTATGGTAATTTTTAATTAATTAATTAATAATTAAATTTTCAAGGTTTCATTTCTGTCGGCGCTCCCGGAGTGTCAATTTATTTTTCCCGTTAGACACGTGCAACTCGAACTAAACCAATGTTTTTATTTTATTTATTGTGTATTTGTACAAAGGCTGCCTACAAGAAATTACTCTTAGCGATAATAAATTCAATTTTTGATTACCTCGTAAGTAAATTAAATAGTTGTACATTATAATACATAAAGTTAATTTTATTTATTTGGAATTTGTTTGGCTGCCTGGGGGTGAACGACTACCAGTACCTGCGCACACTCTATTACCCTTTATATAGAGCTCACAGACTAGCAGTTTTTAACCCCCGACGGAAAACGAGGGGTGTTATAAGTTTAAACAGTGTATCTGCGTATCTGTCTGTGGCATCATAGCTTCCGAACGGATGGACCAATTTCGATCCGATTTTGTTTTTTCGAAAGCCGATGTGATCGAGATGGTTCTTAGCTACACATTTTGAAGATCATCAGCTCACTTCCTAGGTGGATCTCACTAAAATCCCCAGGTCCGATTTACTTTGACGGTATTTCCACGACATGGTAACCTGAAACTTGCTGCTGCATCAAGTAGTCTGCGGGATAGCCAAGTCCTCAGAAAATTACAGCATATATACCATGTTTGGGCTTATTAGAACAGTCTCAATGAGCAGTTGTTGTTTTTTAAAGTTTTTTTTGTGTGTATCAGGCTTATTTAATTATGGTCTTCTCTAGATTGGTTTTGCTCAGCCCCTGGATATTTATTTGCCCAGTCTCTCCTCCAGTGCACTGGTTTTTATTAATGGCAGAAATAAGCAAAATATCATCATCTCAGCCGAAAGACGTCCACTGCTGGGCATAGGCGGCCCCCAAGGTTCACCACAACAACCAGTCTTGTGCTGCCCTTATCTAACGGCTTCCCGCGACCATCACCTGGGCCTCAATTCTGCTATTACTTTTAAAAATATATTACGTTTTAAATATAAAAATATATTATATATTTTAATTTTATTTTTTAAATAATTTATTTTTATTTATTTATTTCTTTTAATAAATTATTATAATAAAAAAAAAAAAAATCATTTCCTCAAAAAAACGTAATATATTTTCAACTACCGATATTTATACCGATGCCAATGGCCACTCGATGACATCTCAATAGCGTGTCAGTGGTATGACACTGGCTTGGCGTAATAGCAGAATTGAGGCCCTGGTCATCGGATTATCTTATGGGGGCCTACGCACGCCCTATCTATCGGTAGGCGGTCGCCAGTCGAGAATACTTTGGCCCCATCGGCCATCTTTTCTTTCTTGCTCGCTCGCAAAATATAATAACAGTTAAATATGGTTAGCTGTTATATCTTTAGGAGCAGGTAACCTTTTAAAAGCTATTTAGGTACACTATCTTGCCGTTGCGTTGTGTAACTTCCGTTTCTAGGCTCGAAGGATATAACAAATTATATTACGTTTACCGGCAATGTTTGCGAAATTTAGTCATCTAGTTAAAGTGATTGAAAGAAGTTACGAGTCGCTTATCAAATAATATTAGACTCGTTTAACGACCATATGGCGTAGTGGTTTGTGTAACGGACTGCTATTCCAAAGGTCGCGGGTTCGATGTCCGCTCAAGTAAAACATTTGTGTGCGTTAACATTTAATGTTTGATTTGTTCTGGGTGTTTCTATGTATAATAAGTATGTATTTACAAAAAAAAGTATATATGAATTTATATCAGTTGTCTAGTAGCTATAGTATAAGCTCTGCTTAGTTTGGGACTAGATAGCGTTGTGTGAATGTTGTAGAATAATATTATTTATTTTCGAGGCGTTATTTCTTTTCTCGCTGCGGTTTTTCTTAGAGCTTAAGGCAGAGAACGTTAACTTTCTATTCTGTATTTAGGCAGTGATTAATAATTAGTAGCCTAGGATTTACAAAGATATATTAGTATCGAGGAATAGATGTCACATTGATTTAGAAATGGTCAAAAAACAATATACAGTTACCAATTTTTTTTGTCAAGACTTTAATGTGCTGGTAAGTAACATTTAAACAGTTTTAATATTAGAACCTAATCTGTGATCAGACTTTGTCTTAAAGAAACGTCTGAAGTAATACAGTTAATACAGAATCCGACCACTCGCGGGGTCTCTTTTCGATGACTTTAACTAATTCTTGGCGCAAGTTGTTAGACTAATTTATAAAAATAAATACAGAGTCCTTTCCTCCTATCTTATTACCTTACGCAGACAGTAATAATAAAATAAATAAATAAAATAAAAAAGCCTGTATTTCCGTATCCTTAAATTCCATTTCAAATGTTGGTATTTGTTTGTTAGTGTTTAGTTAGTTATTCATGTTTTTCTTATTGTCTAGATGTTAGTAAGGGTTAGTTTTTTCTATTTGGATATGGACCCCTCCTCGGGTGAAGGCCTCCTCCAGTCCTTTCCACTCATCTCTGTCCGTGCCGATAGTTTGCCAATCTTTTCCTATTAATTCGGTTATATCGTCAGCCCATTTTCTTTTTGGTCTCCCTACCCTTCTTTTACCGATTGGCCCTTTCCACTTTGTAGTTTTGATTACAGTAATACTTTGAAGAAATATTTTGTTTAATGATAAAAAACTCAGTTAAGTTAGGATATTAAGGAAGTTAGGAAAGGTAGGATCATTTATAAGAACTTATTTTTATCGACACTTCAAACACAGACGCAGTTTTGTTGGTCATGTACTATAAAGAAAGAAATATGTACTAAACGATAATTCTTAGAGCTTTTATTGAGAGTTACATAACGATCAATATTGTGTGTCTGTATCTGAAATGGATCTGGTTGTCATTGGAACCGATCAGAACAAATTACCCTTTTTTTTTTTTTTTTTTTTTTTCCCGTGCGGAAATCCCCTCGGATACCACCTGTCGGTGGCATGTCGGACTCGAACCGACTAAAACCGCACGCCGTCTCGGGTACTAATAGTCGGGGAACCAGGTATACCCTAGAAAGGAAGTCCCTGGTGCCCCGACATACCTCGGGTCATCTACAGACGAGTAGACGACCCCCCCCGTGTGGGAACCCCATGTTCCCTGTGCTCCCTAGAGGCGAACGCGCTTCGCCGCTCAGAACAAATTACCCTGCTCGCTCTCGCTTGTCTTAATGTACACCTTAGGCGTGTATTTATTATTTGCTAGCAGCCTGTTCTGTAACTATAGACCGTATTTTTTTTTCTATAACTATAACGTATGGTGGGCATCCTCGAACTTAACAACGTACTATTTTAATTGGTACGAAATTCCTTATCGCGCGTTACACGCTCTGAGCGGTTGGGAGCGACACTGAATAATGTGTAACAAGAGTTTTTTCCGACACTATAGCAAACATCTACCAAAAAGCGAAGGGAACTTCATTCCGACCGGGGGTGAATAAAATGTAAAACTTTACATTTTTTATGACATAAGGGGGTAAATAAGTAGATAGGTCACATCCAATAGCTTCACTCACTCAGTGCAAAGCAACGGAAGAACTGCTTAAACACCGATTTTCTGTAAGGGCCGAATTTTCTTAGGTTATTCTTTCTTTTATCTAAACTACAAAAGACCTTGTTTTTGTTGACTGGGTGGAAAATCCCTAGTCTAAATTATATTATAAATCGCTTTACTGACCAACTTAATAATTTGAAAAATACTTATTTGAGACAACAGAAAGAAATTGAGATATTTTATTTATTAATTGTTTTTTGCCCATGACCCCCCCTTCCCCCGTGTTTATGTCGGTTATTGCGTGAAAAGGTGCCAAATTTAATTAAATCGGTTCAGTGGTTTAGCCGTGAAAGCGTAACAGACAGACCAAGTTACTTTCCCATATGTAATATCGGAAAAACAGACGCTCGAAACGAAAACTACGGCGCGCGAACGAACTCAAAACGCGGTCAGCTATCACTGAACATTAATATTATTAATAAGATTACATCAGTTCGTATTCGAATTATTCATTTTTAAATAAGTACGAAAATCTTTTCGTTACGGTTCTTGCATTGCTGGTATTCAAAATAATTAGACGATATGTAACGCGGTGTGATGATCTCGAATGATCAGTACCGCTTCGATTGTCTGTGTATACCATTAGTCTTTGATCAATATGTTAAGATACCTACATGAATGTACAATGTATTGTATTTCACAGTGACCGGTTATTCCGCACAATGACCGACATCCTGGTATCGGAGGGGTACGCGGCGGTTGGCTACGAATACATTAATTTGGATGACTGCTGGTTGGAACGGGAGCGCGACTCTCGAGGCAGGCTGGTACCGGATAGAGAGAGATTCCCTTCGGGCATGAAGAGCTTGGCTGATTATGTAAGTTTTTAATTCCTAGTACTTGTCGATGTGTTTGTTATGTAAAGTCGGTATTTTATATTGCGATGGGATTTCAATCGTAAGCCTGAATTTCATGAAATTGTAATTTCAGCTGTTGTATTTTTTTTTATACAAGCTGTGGGTCTGACTCAAGTTTATACTTTCAAAATTGAAGAGGCTGTTATTTTTATTATATAATTAGGATATTACTGATGAAATGTTGGAATTGCTGAAACTAACCAGTAAACTATTTGAGTTAGTAAGAAATAACCAGAAATATTAAGATAACTAAAAATATAGTTCATTTTTTTTTCATTTCGTTAATAGGTTCATAACGTAATATCGCAACTTGGATACAAAATGTAAATAGATACTCCTATGTATGTTAGAACATGGCCTTTTTGTTTTTCCAACATTTTGCACAACGAACGAGTTTACGTTTTCGTAACGCGTGTTGAATAAGGTTTATGTTTCGTCAGCGATACAATGATGTATAGCTTCGTTATATCTCTTATGTCATACTTAATAACACTATCAATTTATGTTTACATAAATTGATCATTACAATTAGGTGAACGTTGGCTTAGGATATTACTTTTTTCCTCTGCTCCCTAATGCCTCGGTGCGAAGGCAGGAGGTCCGTGTATGCCTGGGCATTTCATATTTAAAGATTAAAATAAAATTACGTGTACAAAACATTTGGCAATTATCAACGTACTGATTATATTTATTTCAGGCTTTCATTTAATGACATGGTACTGTGGGTCATACTTATTTAAAAAAAATTGGCACAAATAATTTTCTTCGTGTGTTTAGATTTAGATTTCTATAGCATCAGCAGTCATCATACATCATCACATTGAGATAATTATAATAACCTTACTCATTTCCTATACGGCATTTAATCCCAAACTAGGCAGAACCGGACCTAGGGTACCAGACTGCTGATACACATACTTATATATTTCTAAATACATACATATTATACACATAACAAATGATCGTGCTCATCACACAATTATTTGTCCTGGGACGGTATCGATCGCTAACCACTAAAGAAACAAAAATTATAAATATCCGTGAATTGTACAACTATGTATGTACTATACATGGTCCTATAAATGATATTAAAGAAGTTAATAAACATTATACCAAGAACATGGATTAAATCATCAACAACTTTTAATAGTCTACTGCTGGACATAGGCCTCTCCTTAGAAAGGAGGTTTTGGCCTACTATACCACGCTGGCCAGACGGGTTGGTATAGGGTTTGTGTCATGTTTTCCTTTTTTTTTGAGGTGCTGGTGTCCGGGCGTTGTTTTGTGCCCTTAGTCGGCTCTTACGACACCCACGGGATGAATTGGGGTGGTGACATTCCGTATTCTTAATCCGTCACCACACGGATGTATCGATTCGAAATGATCGATTGAATAATGATACACAATTCTTTTCATGACCGAATGACTCGCGAAGACACAACTGCTATAGTTTTTATAATCAAGTATTTCTGCGCGTGACATTGTCTTAGTGCAATACTTTATAATCTATTACGTTTGTTTAACGAGTTAGTGGAATATTTAGACATCTGAATTACACTTTTCCTTTTGATTTATGTTAGCTTTCGCTTGCTGTTTCGTTGAAAATACTAGTGTCCCTCTGGACAGCTTATTATACACAGAACATTGACGATAACTTTGTTATAAAAATATGTTATTATAATTCATTTTTGGATTTTTTTAGTTACCATCCATACTTGTATTATAAATGTGAAAGTGAGTTTGTTTGTTTGTTACGTTTTAACACCTTTTTTTTTTTTTTTTTTTTTTTTTTTTTTTTCCGTGCGGAAATCCCCTCGGATACCACCTGTCGGTGGCATGTCGGACTCGAACCGACTAAAACCGCACGCCTTCGCCGGGTACTAATAGCCGGGGAACCAGGTATACCCTAGAAAGGAAGGCCCTGGTGCCCCGACATACCTCGGGTCATCTACAGACGAGTAGACGACCCCCGCCCCGTGTGGGAACCCCATGTTCCCTGTGCTCCCTGGAAGCGAGCGCGCTTCGCAACGCGCTCGCCGCCACCCCGGCCTGCTTCTGCTAGGGTGACAGAAGGCCTCACCTGTCACCCCCAGGCCTGCGCTTATGGAGGACGGAGGTCATTCTGCGACCTCCGGCGCCTGAGTCGCCTGCGCTGCCTGGCCCGTGCCCGGGCCTGGCGGGCCGGGAGAGTTCTAAACCTCTCCCGGTCCCGCTCCGCCGTCTCCTTCGCGAGCATAACTTGCTCGCAGAAGGAGACGGCAGAGTTCCACGCACTCTCGCTCCACACGATAGCCGCAATCAGGCTATCGAGCGAGAGAACTCCCACTCCGATGGCCGCCACGAGGTCTCGCCTCTGCTCAACCCACGCCGGGCACTCTGCCAGCGTGTGGAGAGCCGTGTCCACGGTCTGGCCATCGCAGTGGTGGCACTCAGGCGTTGGCTCCTTGCGGATCAGACACAGGTGATCTCCGAAACATCCCTTCCCAGTGATCACCTGCGTCAATCGGTATGAGAGGGTCCCGTGACGCCTCTCGAGCCAATCCTCCATAACGGGTCTTACCGCCGCAAGGAGCCCAGCGCTCGGTTGCCCGAGTCGTTCCCTCCACTCCCCTATGATGACCTGGCGGAGTTGGGATTTCCGGTCATCGATTTCTCGAATCTCGGGGCATCGACCCAACTCCTGCGCCTCCTTGCGCCACTGATACAGTGCCGCAAGGGCTCTCGCCTCCAGGTCCCACGGTGGAGTTCCGGCCAGGAGACTCGCTGCCTCAAAGGAGATCGTGCGGTACCCCCTTATGATCCTGATGGCCAGCATTCGCTGCGGTCGTCGCAGTATCGCGACGTTGCTGGCCTTCAGGGCCCCCGCCCATACCGGGCACCCGTAAAGGGCCATGGACCGCACAACCCCCGAGTAGAGTCTCCTGCAGGAGTCATCGGGTCCCTTCATGTTGGGCAGCAGCCGCGCCAACGCACGCGCTGCCCCAACCAACTTGGGGACCAGACCTCGGAAATGATATCCGAAGTCCCATCGGCCATCGAGTACGAGCCCCAGATACCTGATCGAGGGCTCGATGCCGATGCGAGTGCCTCCTACCGTGAGGCTAGATCCCTCAGGCGGCTTCCTCCGAAGCCCGTGGAAGAACAGGGCCTCGGACTTGTGCAGAGCCACCTCGAGACCCAGCCGCCGGATACGCTCAACGTTTTAACACCTAAACCACTAAACATATTTTAAAAATTCTTTCCTCAATGGATAGCTATATTATCAGCGAGTAACATGGGCTACTTTTTACTGCGATAACCGACATTCACACGGGCGGAGCCGTGGGCAAAAGCTAGTTAGTATGATAAACTCTAAAGGTTTCTTTTCTTTTATTCTTCTTTTTTTGAAAGACAACTCCGGCATTAGGAATATATCCTGTGTCGCGGTGGACTTTACAAACATACATGAAACGAAAACAGAGAACACCCAGACTCAGAACAACAATTTGTGGATCACACAAAGTGTCGTCCTATCTGGGGATCGGACCCACAACACTCAGCGTAGTAGTGAGCGGCGTTGCGACCGCTTAAACCACTACGCCATCCACGTAGCCAGTTGTTAAGTTGGTAAGGATAGGTGTATTGATTTTCGATACTCGACTAGAAAGGTTAGGCGCAAACAAAACTACAGGACAGGCCAGTTAACTTATATTTAAACATAACTAGTTAAGCCTTAGAACGCGGATAAAAATACTTAGATATTTTTAACGTAGAAAGGTTTATATAAAAATAAATTAAGTTAGAAGGAATCGAACACACAACCTTTTAGGTCAATAAAAAATGATCCCGGAATATAAAACCCCAGTTATAAAACTCGACACGGACAGTTAATTGCTTATTATTTCATTTAGACAAAGCCTTATTAAATATTACTCAACTATATTAGAAGTTGGTCCGTTTTTGCCGCGCGTAAACAGAGACCATTGTGTCAGTACGACAGGTCTTTATTAATCGTTTTATAGTGTTTGAAACTCTCATGAGTATCTCATAAAACAAAGATTCAAGATCAACCCGGTCATAGTTGGTACTATATTATACCACTACTAGTTTTGCCCGTGGCTCCGCCTGACTGTATGTCGGTTAACGCGGTAAAAAGTAGAATATGTTGCTTGCTGATAACGTAGCTTTCTATTGGTGAAAGAATTTTTGAAATCGGTTAAGTGGTTTAGGCGTGATAACGTAACAAACAAACAAACACACATTTAAAATGTAAGTATGGAAGTGTGGATACAACATACAATTCCGCTTATATCGTTAAGGGATAGGTGAAATAAGGAAACACATTAATAACTCACATTTTGTTAAATACTAACTTTTTTTTTATCTGTTGTTGGTTAAGGGTTTTTGTCTATTTAGACATGTCAACCCCATTGTATCTTCTCTATATATTGTATCTCTCTAATTAACGCGTCACTATGTAAACATTAAACCGCTAATACACAGCTGTTTTGCAGTCTCAGATATTGGTAGTGATAGAATAGTCTGCGCAATTCCTACATCTATCTGGTTTAGATTCAATGTTTCCATCAGTGCTTTTCTTTCTCTTCGGTTCAAAAAATATAAACTTAAAGAGACAACTTCTTGTGTAAAAAAATAATTAAACTGTCATTTCTACCTCGAAAGTTATAAAGAATTATAGTCATTAAAATAGACCAAATTATCGTTATTTAATAATTTCTCAGTAGATCCTGAAACAACATTACTTTACTTTACTTTTGAAATTAAATAGTTTACCTACAAAAATTCTCGACTTAAATGTATATAGGTATGTCAATTGCGGTAATCACACACTTCAGATGCAATTTAAGCTCCCGAATCAATACCATTCATTGACGGGCCTGTTGGTCTAGTGGTTAGTGGCCCTGACTGCTAAGCCGGAGGTCGTGGGTTCGATTCCCACCCAGGACAAATATTGTGTGATG